CGGCCAGCAGCGGGAGGACGAGAGGGAGGACGCGGGGGAGATGCATTGCGGTGGAGGGGGGTGATAGAGGGGTGGGCAGTATGGAGGAAGCCCAGGAGGAGCAGGAGGAGGGGGTTTAAGACGGTATTGGAAGAGGCATGGTGGATGAGATGGTGGAGGGATGTTGAGCGGTGAGCTGCGCTGTCAAGGGCCCCGGGAGGGAGGCGACGTAACGGCCGGGCACCTCTCCCGCGGTGTGGAGACGACGCCTTATGTCGAGCGAGCGAGCGGGTGTGTAAGGCGCACTCCGTCCCATCCATCCCATCCCATCCATCCCATCTCATTTAGTCACATCCCATCCCATCGTACCATCATCACCACCAATCCTGCTTCTCCGGTCAGCATCCTTCCATCAATCCTTCCACCCATCGTACCTTCTAATCCGCCTTCCTCACTTCTTCCCTGCATGCGAAACGTGCTTCTCCCATCACACCGCGGCGTCTGGCAAAATACAATTCCAAATATGCATGCAAGTATGTCGCCCACTAGCTCCAGCCAAGACCAAATCGTCATTTTAGAACGCCGGTATGATGTGCTTAGCCTGCGCACAGGTAGGTAGCGCAGAAGATACGCGCCCGCTCAGCGGTCGCTACCACCAGTGTCATTGTTTTGCTGGCGTGGGGGCGTGTTTGGAGACGAGTGCGAACCGGCGAGATTGGTGAGGCGAACAGGTAGGTACTCCCTAGAACAATATTAGTGATTCATGCAACACAGCTGGTCAGCGGTATCTGGTGGATACCTACCTCTTGCCTAGGTACTCACACTCGTTCACAGGTGATTGTTGATTGTTGATATGACGCGATGTGCCAATACCCACCGTGGCGCCGTCCATATGGGGCGACAAAATAGATGGCAGCTGAATTGGCAGTAGCGAACCAGTATCTAGGTACCAGCGCCAGCGAGACAATGGGGATTTTGCACATGTGCGTGTGAGCAGCATCGACTCCGGTGCACGATGCAATCAATGTGTCCAGCTGGCAGGCCTAAGCACTTCTCAAATCTCCAGCGCGCCGCACCCCAAGATCGATCTCCCCTCCAAACCCGGTTTCCACTGTTTCCACCGTTTCCGCCGTTCTTCCTGTCTCTGCCACCACCGTGCACCGCGCACTGTGTATCCTCCAGGCTGAAACTCTGCAAACCCGGTGCTGCCACAGAAATATCCTTCCAGAACTATCAACGTTGACGTCCTACATAGGCTGTATGGCGGTGGCTGCTGCAGCGCTGTGTCGATTTTGATATGGTATGTGCCTGTGTGGTGGGTGGGGCTGGGATCTGCAGTCGACGCTACTCTGGCGCGACCCTGTCGCCGTTGGCGTGATTGTGACCCGATGCCCGTGCACCGCTGTGACCTGCAGGCGCTAGCCGTGCCTGTCCGCAAGCCCGACCGCCCCTACATACGGATAATTCTCGTCTCTTGCTAGTGCGATGTGTCAGTCACTTCGGCGAAGTCCTTTGCCTGGGTGATCCAGGTACATACATGTTCTGCAGAATTCCCAGCCGCCAGGGTGCGCAGACGTCAACGGGTGCCGGGGGGGACACGCTGCCGGACACGAGGCATTTTGCGGCGCAAGTGCTGGGTGATGGATGGAGAGGCGAATTGAGAGTGCGAGGTTGGGCCATGCGGATGGATGGTAGAGGGCGCTAGATGGCGCGCGGCAAGATGGTTAAGTACCTGTACTTGGTGGGTACTATGGACGGCTGAATATGGTCTTTTGGACGCGTGCTGGATCTAGAAGTCGAGGACCGGGAGTTTGGTGAGATATGCAGGCTGCTTCCTTCCCGTGAAGTATATTGTCTAGGTTGGGTACTAGGTGCTGAGTGCCGGCAGGGTGTGATATGATGTGACGTGATGTGAGGTGATATGATTGCTTGATCGAGTCTCCGTGATTCTGCCTGTGGATTCGCGGCAACCCGTCTTGACTGTTGAATCTATAGATTACTGCCGCTTAATATATCGATTACTGCACCAAGATCTGTCAGCCCGCGCACAAACTCCACAATCTGCCGTAACCTACCACAACGAAAGATCCCTCCTCCAGCAATCCCGGCCTGAAGAATCCACTGCCCGGCCGAACCGGCCCTCCAGCGCTGTCACGCTTTATATCCACTACATCAGCCGCACTAGAACGCTAGAGACTCGGTGCGGGATACAACGCATCCTTAGCTTCACGTCCCCAACTACATATAAGCCGGGAAGTAGGGCAGTTTCCGACGGCCGCACTCTTCTTATATGTAGCCCGCGTTGATCAGCCGCTGTTTTGTGTGTTGCGTATATACTCGCTTTCGATTGGACACCACGCGCCACCCATCCCATCCCATCCCATCCGCCCTGCCTTACCTTACCCCACCCGCTTCGCCCCGTCCAGTCCAGTTCAGCGCACTCCGTCTAGCCTAGTCCGCCGCCTAGCAGCGCCCCCCATCGTCTTCTCCGCCGCCCAATACCGCGTCCGAAGTCTAGCCCGCCCGATGGCCCCGTGTAAGCCCAAATCCGTGATCGCCGGCCAGAATCCGGTGCTCGTGTAAGTTCCCCTCCCTCTCTGCGCCAGATCATCACTAAAGCCCGGTCGCCTCCCTCAGCTTCGACGGCGCGGTCTCCGTCAAGATCCTGCCCACGCCGCCGGGGCGCTGCGTGCTTCTAGAAGCCACCTTCTACCCGCAACACCCGCTGCTCAAGAAACACGCCTCAAAAAAGCCGCCGCTGCACTTCCACCCGTACCAGCGCGAGTTCATCTCGGTGCTCAAGGGCCACCTAACGATCGAAGTCCGCGGGCTGCCGGACTTCCACCTCGACCCGACCACCAGCGAGCTGCCCATCCTGCCGTCGTACCACCACCGTCTCTTTCCGGATCCGAGCTTCTCTGACCAGGAAGAGGTGGTCATGCTGCTGAGCGCGACGCTGGAGGATCCGCCGTTGACCCGCAGTCTGGATCTTGTCTTTTTCCAGAACTGGTATGGATACCAGAATGACGCACTGGTGCATGGCGTGCCCATCGACTTCGTGCAGGTGCTGCAGATGTTTGATGCCGGCGACTCGTATCTGAGCTTGCCGCCGTGGGTGCCGTTTGGCCGCACCGTGAGCGTGCTGCTGGGCGTCTTGGTGGGACGCTGGCTGGGCGGGATACTGGGGTATCGCCCGTTTCATAAAGAGTGGACCACTGAGTGGGACTTGGCCAAGGAGAAGATGCGGAATACGCCGTTCCAGAAGCCGTTGGAAGAGTGAGGGCGATGTTGACGTTTGGTTGTGGTTATGCAGTAATGATTTCTTGTTGTGTTATGATTCAATATTATTCTTTATTCATGGTTTTTGTACGTACCAAATGTCTTTTGATACCCTCAGACAAGTGTCACAAGCGCCGACTCGTCATAGATGCGTTTGATATCACTCGTTCTGTTCCAGCCCATTCTCACTAAAACTGACATGGCGGCCTGGGTTTTCTGAAGCATCGCAAGGTAGAGCTTAAGGCCGCCGAGAGTAGGAGATGATGCGAGCTGGTAGACCAATACAAGTTCCATGACACACGTCAAACAATCTGAATGACGGCCATTGACGTCGAGTTGCTATCTCAATTAACAGATGGGCGTAGCCTTTAAGATTGTCGCAAGTTTTAACGGAACTAGTCGTAAGTTGTTGATGTGCTACGCCCTTATACCAGTGCGATGGCTAGCTTGGGCGATCTCAGGTAGTAGCTATTGATCGACCAGTTCACCATGGAGTTCCGGCGGAGGCCCACGTTCCCAGGCATCTGAATGTCCCATAACCCAATTGATCTGCCTGTATCTAAGTCTGTAGAATCGCCCCAGGTACCTGCAGTAGTGATCTATTTCAATAATAACCTTCCATAGGCAGATTTCGACCCCGTAGATGCTATGAAGATGCATTGTTACAGCGGCCGCTCGATTTTCGGGGAGGAAGCGGACGAGTACTGTGGTCGGAAGTGTTGAACATGAACGTATGATCGCGCGCTGTGGTAAGATTGTGTACTAGAAGAAATGAGAAGAGCAGAATACGAGCTATGAGGTATCAGGAGACTCGAGCCCACATTGTTGAACATGTAGTTGTGTTCATTGAGAGTGAAGTGTACGAGAAGAGAAGAGCACAGCAGAAAATAAGGGCGATGAGATTGAGCCTCATATTACCAAAACCGAATCATCGTTGATGCAGGATTGCCCATTTCAACATGAAGCCCTTAGGGAAACTCGATTTCGTGCTCTTGTAAACAAAACACTCCAGATAATTCCAAACCGAGCCGAATCACTTGCGCAGCAGTAAGTACTTAACTAACACCGGTCACCGAATTGACCTTCACAAGTAGAAGATCTACAAATGCGCGACATCTAATTTTGTTCCTTCGTATGGCAGCTGTAGTAGGTGATCTGGTCTAAGTTCCGAAGCTGCTACGCATATATATGCTCTAGCAGGCCTCAACCTCATTGCGGACCCCAGTTATCACTCGCTTTCCCCGCCTATACCACTATTCCCTGATCGAAATGTCCGCCATATTTCTATGGAGTATGGCGTCATAATACCCATCTTCTACCAATGCTGACATGCATCGACACAATCAAGTTGTCTCTCAGTTGCGATCCGTCGTCCGATGGTAGATTACTACTATGTGTTGCCCGACCTTGGCCTTTCTTTCAGCTACGGTCATAGAAACATGAATACAAGGCTTCCCGTCCGCTCAGCCCTATTTAAGCATGTTATCGCCCGGTTAGTACTGCAGTGGGTGACCATGCGGGAATCCCGGGTACTGTAGTTTTTTTTGAAAACTCAACGCACATATACAGTATTACCCTACCCTTTGCGGTCTAATCTTTGGAGAATCCGGAGCCCCTGTGTCTATTCTATTTCCAGGACAATTACTTGAAACTTCGTATAGATCACTCGCCTCGCTTAACTTCCGTCACAGAGCGCTACCACGCTATAAAAGTCGCTTGCATGACTTCACCACACATCACCCGATTCAGTAGTGTAGGGGTATCATGGGCGCTTGCCATTCTTCTTCCTGAAGACAGCACCTTGCGCCCGACCCGGGTTCAAATCCCGGCTGAATCAGATGTCTTTTTGTGTTTTGCTGTTTCATTGCATTGGAGTGTCGAATCCCGCCCATTTGTTGTCTCGTGTCACGTGTCTGGCGTCGTAGTCCTCGCTAAGCCTCAGAAATTCTTTCGGCGCTTTTATCGAGGAACAATGTGTGGCTTGGCGGTCAGATAAAAATCTCGGCATGAGCAAAGCCGATCTGTGAGTCCAGAGAGTCAGTCCTCCATCTCAACTTTATCAAGTATAAAACCGCCAGTTGGAGCCACGAATTTAAATAATCGAGTATATTCTACTATTGTCTATTAATAATTAAATTTTATAATTCTTTTTACTTGGATTTATTATATATAGCGATCAGCAGATTAATACTTAAGTAGCAAACTTATTGGAGATGGTGCATCTGCACCGGTGGTCACTCGGTTGTGAGTTTTGCAGCAATACGTCATGCCTCAGCTGTCTCCCATTTATTTTTCTGCTCTCGTTGCATCGTGCCATCGTTCATCATCTCTTGAACAGACTCTTTCGTCCAACTCTGAGCATTTTTACGGCCGGATGGCACCGTTTAATTTCCTCACGATGATTGGCTGCTTGCGAGTGATCAGTCAATCCGGTTCCCATATAGGTAGGTGTATATTTAGTCCGGACACACGAGCTTGGAACCACATGCTAATCACAAGACATCGAAGCTTAAGCTTTAAGGGACAGTATTTACTTTCTGATAGTGAATCTTGGTAGATCGAGGTAAATACACATGGCCAGGCAGGCTCAAGGCTAATCGATTCAAGATCTGACAAATATATAACGCGAAAATCCAGGCTATCATATGTGCAACGATATCTAATGAAACTTCGATCACAAGGGATGAAAGGGCACTGGTATAGAAGCTGAGGACGAGAACGAGACCTCGTTACCCATGCATCTTCGCGCGTACAACTTCACAGTTTTAATCTACGATGGTCAAAATAACCGGTCCAAAAGTTTAACTGAACTCTCGCTATTCTTAAATGTGATTTGGAAAGATTAGGCGAATCGTATGATCAGATTTCGCCTCAAACATGGTCTAAACTTGATGGTTGAAGCTCAACACCTCGATTCGCCTCACACCGGTTATCGACATTGTTCCTTGAATAACCGTTTAAGTTCCGTTTTATAATCGGATTATTGCTCTTGGAGGTTTCAATACTGTGAGATACCGCAATCGTCGGAACTCGTAATATCAAATCGGTATCCGAAGAGCCTCTAGATCTACTATCGGTGTCAGGGTTCGACTCTGCAAGATCACGAAAAACGTACGGATAACGGCACAATCGATAATTGAGTTTCTGCCTGCCCAAAAGTACAAGGTATGCAATATGCTGCAGCTTCCCACGTCCGTGGCAATGGTGCACCAATAAACTTCGGAGAGTCGGCAAACACGACCCCACTTCTATGATCACTGATTGAAGGCCTCAACTTCATAGATTATGGAGTGCATATGCATGTGCAGCTGTACGGGTGAAGACAATCTGGGTGAATGTTCCGTAACTTCGGGATATTGCATACCAAACTTAGCGTTAGTCAGTTTCCCGGTTTCAAAGCAAGTCCTCAATTTAGCTAAACTTTATGCAGGTACAAACATCTAGAGTTAGCTCACGCCAGTCGTGTAATCAACTATGTACATCAGCACGAGGTAGTAATGGTGCTACGCTACAAAAGAGGCGGTCAGATTATGTTACACGATGCCACAGCCTCGGGAGTTTGCATATAAATCGTGTTCCAATTACATTCGTACAATTATACTACCGAAATTATCCTTTTATTGCGTCCCACTGGATAAATTCTTGGTATTATGGCCTAGGGGAGATAAAATCAATAACCTGGAATTATAGAAGAAAATAATACTGTCTTTCAATATTCAAGTGCACTTACAGCGTTGAGCCTTGTTCCAGAATCTTAGGTTAGATTGGATAATTCTCGTATCGTCTTGAGATTCTCCGGATCCTCTAGGATTTCGCAAAAACGAAAAATCGTTATTTTTGAACTAGAATTTCACTACATTGCTGGCCATGCTGTAGCGAGCCCCTTAGCAGTTTTGGGGAGATTACGGGAAGATATCTAGTGTTGTTATACTCTCTAGTATCCCACCGGTTAGTAGTTCATCATATTTGTATGATCACTCCTTGATATTAGATCGCCCTGGCGGGTCTTATGTTTCCGATACGAAGATTTAATCACAGGAGGATACCATGATATGCTTTCACAAAAGGACCTGCATGTTCTGTGCTTAGTAATGTTCTGTAGGCTGGAGCCTAAGCTGCAGATCCGAGACGGCCGGCCGGCATGAGACAACGTTGAAAGTGTGAATGAATGTCACCTACCGAAATTCACTGCAGCAGAAGAATAAATACGTGCATGAGTGGCTTGCATAAACAATCTGGTCCGACCAGATGTTTCATCCCTCAGAGCTAGTGGCGGGTGGTACCATGGCTCACGAATTATACAAATAGTATCAAAGGGCTTGTGAGACCTAGTTGCTGGACAATTGTGCTCAGCCGCGTGTCTCCCAGGGTCGGGTACACGAGCGATCAAACATTGTATAGGTCAACAGTCACATCTAGCAAATGATAAGTGTATCGCTGAGATACGCTAGATTTACTCGCATTTCGACATACATGCCGACATGCCAGCCTGCAAATGCAACATGATCATATACACGGTGAGTCACTTTAGAAGTGACCTAGGGGCCAAGGTTGTCATAGTCTGTGTCGTTAGTTGCATGTCAAGTTTCGCTTATCTCTGTTTCTTTTGAAGTTTTTGACGCGCGTTTTGACGTTTTTCATGGCTAACCAGATCTCTCAACAGCTTGGATACCTGCAACTATCACCAAACCTAGTAGCACACTTCTGTAATGGTGATCCAAACAAGACGCTTATGTGACAACAAATACTGGAGCACCAAGGAATCTAGCGATAAAACTAAGTTCTATCTGCAATCTCAACTCGCGGTGTTACCTCTAAAACGGAAGTTGCGTAGAAACAACTTCACCAAACCTACAGGCCAAAATTTGAAGCTTTGCTCCAAAAACAAATTTGTATGATAGCAAATGCTCTTTGGAAGTCTGCCATTTTTAAATAGAACTTATCTTGAAAGCAGCTTCAACTTCGCTATTTTTGTGGGCCGACATATTGCTCCCTGGCTTTGTTGGAGTTCAACAAATTGTCGGCCTCAAGGATTTTAATAGGAGTGGTGGCCGTGGGCACCAGAGTCTCAAGCACGTGCACTCGGATGTCATCACATTACACTACAGAACATGAAGAGTCAGGAACTTCAACCGCCCAGGTACCATGGCCTTTTCTCCACAGAAGATTTTAAAACAACCGGCATGAGATAGAATAATATCATTTGCATGTTCAGTGCATGGCGTCTCCGGTTTTGTGTTGGCTCGATCAGCCGACGATGTGTACGACAACCCAGTTCCGCGGTGGGAAAAAGTAGACATAATTCCTGTCAAGCTTTACATTTTGGGCTGTATAAGCATCCATTTGGCAACCATTTTCTTTGGTATCTCCTTATGAAGAGAATAGATCGTCAACTCAACGATTTTTCATTGCTCTGCTTCAATTGAGTTGTCCGCGGGTCGCTCGGGGATTCGGGTCACAGTTAACCTCAAATCAGAATCCCTTGTATATGATTTGCAGATACTTAACCAATGGCCGGCACGGCCCGCACCCCAGGAAAGTGACACATCGACGTTTTGGGGGTGGCGATTGTCTAAACAATGCAAGCCTACAACCAAGGTGCTCTAGATCGCTCCACCACCCAAAATATCTGGAATGAACTGCCGCTCACGTGGTTCCTTTGAAAATCTGAAGGAAAAATCCGAAGTTATCGATATTTCATGAATTGGTACATCACCGGCATAGTATTTCAAATCATAGGGTGGAATATGTCAATAACGGGGGTAGGGTTCGCATTTTATTTGCTTTTTCTCCACGTCCGAGCTTCCTGTTAGACTATCGCCGGGCGGCAGAACCTTGGTTCATCTAACGTCAACATAGGCCCTTATTTGTTGCCTGGTCTGTGCACACGCACATAAAATTACAAAGTATAAGGGATCGACCGAGCGTAAAATACTGGCATGTATCTTTCATTAAATTGTATCACACCGAGAATCAATGATAGATCAATATAGTGGTGCGCCTATTCTAGCAGCCCGGTATTTGAGGCCCATACCTGGAGTTGGGGGGTTTTTTTTCTTCCGCTTAAATAGAACGCTGAGGACCTGGTTTCGAAACGAGGTGTTTCCGGGTATGGTCGCTGGCGATCTTTTCAGACTGGGGGAATCTTTACCTTCTTTTTGATGCTGGCCAAGACGGGTGCGTTTTGCGTTAGTCTACACAAATTGCACCCGAAAGCTGCGGCAGTAAAGCTACTAGGAAATATGCCAGAGAAGCTTCTTTCGAAGGCCCTTGAAGGAGAAGGACCGGAGGGGACATACAAGGGCCACTCCTGATGTCCTGCAAGGATCGTATGCGCGCAATCCCATAGGCTAATTCACCAAAATTTACCGATTGAGTCCTGTACCATATTGTATCGGTAGTCATGCCACACGGGGATATCAAGTTCTGAAATAGTCGTAACGGGTGACAGCTGGCAACATCTTTATACATGGCTAGGTACGATCGATGGGCGTATATGTGCACGGCAAAGCGGTAGATCCACCGGTTCCCAGGTAGCGGAACAGGCAGTAAGAACTTAGTACAACCATATGGAACGGCCGTGTCAATGTACTCTACTAGCTCGCTGTACCGGTACTTGTATTGAGAGGAGCGAAAACAGGTTGTTTTCTCTTCCGGGTGCTGCACACAAAAGTGGCGCACCGTCGGGGAGAGCTAGAATGTACTCTATACTGCCGGCCGGATGGAACAGCATGTGGATATACATGCCTTAGGTACCGAATTAACTTGGTATACTAGGATTGAATTAGACGTGCATGTATGGTACGTACGCTCAGTCAAACGCTGAGAAAGATGTTC